TCATTAATTTTATGCGAAATGTGATGACGCCTGCCAATTGAAAATATTAATCTGCAACATGAATTTTGCAGAACTTGAATCCTATGTTTTTCTCGTTTTAGCAAACATGGCCAATAACAAAAATCACAATAAGTAAAATTACTAAGTACTAGGGATTCACAAAGTAAAATTTTTAATTTGATACTGAGAAAATGACGATTATAATACAATAATTTTAACGACGTATAGGATTTTTTCATTAGACTTTTTATATGTTCACAAAATCTCAGTTCACCATCTAAAATAATACCCAAATCACGTGCATTTTCAACAACATCTAATGGCTCACCCGCAATATTTAAATGAAGATTACTATTAAGAAACATCCGATTTCTACCAAAAAATATTAATTTAGATTTGCTTGAGTTTAAATTTAAGTCATGTTGCTTTGAAGATTCGGAAATGTTTAAAAGTTCATAGTTGATTATTGCAGCCGTCTGATCTAAGTTTTTAATGTCAAAGTGTTTATAAAGTTGTGTATCATCAGCATATGCCTGTATAGAACATTTTTTAATAGAATTAATAATATCAGCTGTATAAATAATGAATAATAGGGGACCCAGGATCGAGCCTTAAAGAACTCCTGATAAAATATCAATGTTTGATGAGAATTTTTTATTAACACACACCTTTTGTGATCTTCTAAGTAGGTAAGACCAAATAAGGAATAAAGAATTATTATCAAAACCCAAATATTTCAACTTGGCACATATTAACTCATGGTTAATTGTATCAAACGCTTTAGAGAAATCTAATAATACTAAAGCTGTATCCAAACCTCTGTCCTCAGCTTCTATAACATCATCAATTACCGTAGCTATTGCTGTTCCGGTAGAAAAACCTTTTCTAAATCCACATTGTGAATCAGGTATTAAAGTGTTATCTGTAAAATACTTATAAATTTGGTTGTAAATTATTCTTTCAAAAATTTTTGATAAAGAAGGCAGTATACTAATAATTCTCAGATCAGAAAACGAATTAGGATTTTTACATTTAGGTAGAGAAATACCAATGGCTATTTTCCATTTATCTGGAAAATAAGATTTTTCACTACAACAATTGATAATGTTTGTTATGTACTTATCAATAAAAGGACTACAGTATTTCAGCATGGAAGAAGTAATATTATCAACGCCACAGGCATTAGATTTAAGACTATTTAATATTTTGTGAATTTCTTCAACAGTTGCCAACTGAAACGTGAATTTTAGAGTGTCATTAATAACATTATTATGATAATATTTAATTTTTTCATCACAATTATTAGAGGTATTTTGAACATATCTCGCAAAATAAAGATTTATATCATCCGGATTTGACAAGCTAAAAGGTATATTACGTGAGTTTTCACCGTGAACATTTAACTTTCTGAGAGCTGACCAAGTATGCTTTACATTACCTAAATTGCTGATATAATTTAAATATGATTTTTTTTCATGTCTAACAGCAGACACTGTAAAATTCCTTAGATTTTTATATTGCGTCCAGTCATTATCAGAACTTGATCTTTTAAATTTCTGTAGAGATCTATCTCTCTCTTTCATAATAAGTTTAAGATTATATGTAAGCCAAGGTGCAGGTGGTTTAGTCACTCGTACTTGCCGATAAGGGGCATGTTTATTAAAAAGAAATAATACAAACTCATTTAAAATTTGTATTTTTTTATCAATGTTTTCTTCTACTATAATATTAACCCAAGGCAGGAGATAAAGATCATCTAAGAAGTTATTAATATTAAAATTTTTAAAACAACGATATGATATTTCTTTAGGATTCATTTTTATACCATTAAGCTTAATCTCTATAAAACCTAATCTATGATCAGAAATGCTATCGACGATAATTACACCATGTTTTAAAACCATGTCTTTGTTTGATACAAATATAGGATCAATTAATTTTGAGGTAGTTCTAGTGACTCGTGTCGGTTCAGTTAATATTTGTTGAAAGCCATAAGATTCAAAACAATCATTAAGTGAGTTATTCATATTTAAAAAATCTATGTTAGCATCTCCTGCAAAAATAATAAAATCAAATTCAGGACAAACGCAAGATAAAATATTGTCAAATTCATTAATAACAGCATTTAAATTAGATTTCGGTGGCCTGTAAAAAATTCCAAAACCTATTTTTTTCGAATGAACAGTAAGTTTAAAAAATTGATATTCTAATTGCTCACTACTTTGTATATGAAGGTTTAATTCCTCACATGTATAACAATTTTTAATGAAAGCTCCTACACCACCACCCTTTTTTGCAGTTCGATTTTTATATAATAAATGATAATCAGGAATACTTACCAAATTGACATCAACTCTATCAGACAGCCATGTTTCAGACACCAAAACAATATCAAAATTTTTCTCCAGAATCAAAGTACGAAAATCATTATATCCAGTAAAAATTGATTGCAGATTTAGGTTTGCAAGTTTCATGTCACGTTAAATCAATAGTATTTATTAAGAAAGCTTGTAAATATCCATGAATAACAGAGTCAATAATGAAACAATATTGTTTTGTTTACTATAAAAGTAGAATTAAATATGTATCTATATGTATATAAAATTAGAGAAAATTAGGTTTAAAAGTAAGTAGGGAGGAATTTTACAATTTATATAATATAATAAACCGATAAACGAGGTAAAAAGAAACGATATGCCAGTCGGCTCCAAACCAAAAATTAAGTATCTAAATAAAATTAACATGAATATAGTTTATGATCAAGTTTTAAATAGCATTTACCCAAACAAAAATATTTATAATATTTATATCATCAAAATATATCAAAATATAATATAAAATATAAATATATCAAAATAAGGGGAATATACCCAAAGGAAAAAAGAAAATAAATCTAATTGAATTTAATGCGTGCATTAATTTGTAATGCACTTGCTATATAGTATTACACTAAGAAGAAACCAATTACAAATCCTATTGATATAAACAAAATATAAACAAATTAAATAAGCATAATTAATAATGCCAATCCAAAGTACGGGTAATTTCATCAACAAAAAAGAAAAATATTCTTGACTAAGAGATGTAATTTGAAATCAAACTAAATATAAATCAAATAAAAGTTAAATAAAATTAAACTATTTACTATTTTTAGGAATATCTTCCTCACATATTTTACTAGATAATAGATTAATCAAAAATAATCAGTTAATCGAAAATAATTGAATAACCGAAAAAAAATCGATTAATAGATAATAATCAATTAATCGAAAAGAATCGATTAACAGAACACACATGAGAAATAGTATATGTTTATAGCGCGAACATATTCACGAATATATTAAGTAGTAATCAACCGTGTTCATACGTATATTAGTAACCAAAAAAAAGACGTAATTTTTCCCAAAGTGTGTTGCCTGGGATAGATCTCAAACTTTGTTTTACATAATTTACCATTTTCTTGTGTCGTCATAGGAAAATGTCATATTTTTTATTCAAGTTATCCTTATTTCCGTATTAATTTAATAGGTTTTTTTTTATTATTATAAATCTACTCGTGTAATAAAAATAGTAATAATAATTCCAATCAAACTAATGATCCTTTATTTTCGAGCAAAAATTGTCTTTCAATTTTTCAGAGGAGATTATTAAAATCCACATTTTCAACATACGAGTCATCAAATAAGCGATGGATTTTTCTCCACAAACTTTGATATCCAAAAAGCCGAACAATTTTAATTGGAGACATCTCGAAATTCGAGTCGATTCCAACACACTATGAACACGTTATCTTTGTTAAAACGGCTGTAATTGTGCGTTTCTGATCAGTACCTACAGGGCACGATCAATATTTTTGTATCATTACATATATACAGGACTCACTTTTCTTTTGCAAAGGAAAGCACCCTCAAAGGATCTAAAAATTTTAGTATGCTAGAGACTTTTTGTCCTAATGGCTAGGGAAAACTTAATTTTAAACTTTTGGTTAAATCCTAAAATAAGATATGTATTTTCAAACGAACGACTTTATGTGATATGTATGGAGGACTGGTTTATTTATCAGCTTCTAACAAAAAAATTGTTAATTTGTTTTTAAAAACGGATATATTTTTGAAAATAGAAAAAAAAATGTGGCTTGTAACCTTTACGCCTTTAAAAAGGTATTACGTATTTTTGAAATAAAAAGACCCACAAATAACAAGTGAATAAGATATATTAAAAGTAAAAGGAACAAAAACTTAAATTCTGATTTAAAAAAAATAAACCTCGATTTCTAAAACTCTTCGTCAAAGCCTATAGTAGGTTCACCATTAACACATTCCACGTCATTTTCTTTTGTACCTGTATCCTCAGTAGATGTTTTAAAAATATTTAGGTAGAAGTTTTGGTTAACAGGAGGTACATGTTGCATGAGCTTCTTCAAGTCTTCCACTTTCTTACTGTTTAGCTGTAAAGGCTTATCATATTTTTTTTAAGTTTTCTAAAATTCCGTTGGACTATTGGCAAAGCCTATTACCGCGTTTTCCAATATTTACCTGTTTAAAATTTCCATTCATTTCATGTTTCACTAACATTATATTCGGATTTTGAGACTCGAAGCGGAAACATCGTACCTTATTAAACTGTAAAGGACCTTTATTTTTTTCAGTTTTTCTTTGCTATAGGGATGCTGCCCAAAGAAACAAAATCACTTTATTCCATAATGAACACATCAAAAGGATTTACCCCTTTGCTCTTTTGCACAGCTTTGAACCAGTCTTCGGGAGAATAAATCTGGCCCGAGTACCTTTTATGCTTCTCTATGAGCGCGAAGTCACGATCACATGGTAGATTAGTGTGGCCGGAAATAAGAAACATGTGCTCAATACTTCTAAATTTATTGTCTCTCACGAGCTGCGTCCAGACAGATATGATTTGCCAATTTTTATTCTGGCCGCCGCAATTGTCTGTAAAAATCACAAGATCTTTTTGGCCAGTTATTTATTTGGAAGAAAGATACTTTAGCAGGATACTAGCGATTTCTTCACTACCTCGCTTCGCTGTTGTTTCGGCCACATGAACATGGTTGCCTTTACACCTACGCAATCATGGACACCTAGCTTATAAGTCGAAGCCTTTCGCAAATAAAAGGCAGGACCAACAGTTAAACTTGGTGTAGGAAGTGTTTCTTGTAAGTCAAAAGTAAGCACAATTTTACCGCCATTAGTTTTGGCTGATTCCACTTCCTCTCTCAAGCTGTTCTGCATGGCAGCTGCTCGCCTATGATGAAGGTGTCGTTGAGTTTTTAATCTTTTTACTTCTTCATCGTTTTTATTATTTTCTTCTGCCTAGATCAAAATATTTAGGGAGTCACATGTATGGCACGTATTACTTTTTGTAAGTGTAAAGCTGATATTGTATTTATTACAGAATATCCTTCTATACATATCTTCTTTTACTGGTGTAATGTTTTTATTTTTATACCTGTCAAGGTAAAAATCTTTGTACAGAGAAGAGATGGAAACGTCGTAATCTGTTGAGATTCTTCTTTCTACTATAATCTTTTGGAAAAGCCTTAATGTGATCATAAGCAGATTGTACTTGCTCATATGGAATCCTATTGGATCTAGTGTGGTGCTTCTCTCGTGCGTTATTTTTTGGAACACTTCTTACTTCTGCAATCTGTTTGGAAAGAAATCGTACTCTTTTAGAAGAGTTTTGTAATCCACCCACGGATAAAAACTCTTGTTTACAGATTTGTATGTCTAAGCCATTTAACTTTACTAAATATTGATAGTTTACTTTCCTGGAGGATTCTTGACTTTTTGTTTTTTTTCCTATATCTGCGTTTTTTCGGTACGGCTTTAATAGATCCAAATAAATAAGTGTTTTGTTCTTTATAAGATCCCAAATTTCAATAATCGTTAAAATGTCCTTTACCTTTCCACCCATCTTCCCTCTGCACTTCTTCTGACATTTGCAGGGAGGACCAATCTTTCTATCTTCAACTTTCTTTTCTCTACTACTATTATAAGAGTGTCCCAGGTTTCGCTTGATTTTGGCTTTTCCTTGTTTTCTTCTTTGAATATTTTGTTTTCGTCATCGTGATGGAGTAGATTACTATCGGGTGTTTCTAAAACGTCTTGGGAATATAGGACTGTAAAAAAATAACCAAATACTGAATGATTTTTTTCGACTCAAAAAGGGCACAAGCTACATAAAACGAATAATATATTTTTAAAAATAGGCCTGGCTAAATTAGTGTTAACGTGTACTAGAAATTTATTTTATAGTTACTTTATTATTTTCTTATACAAATATTTATTAACAATGGTTAAATCCCGAAAAAAATAATTTAATATATTCTCAAAGTAAAAGGTCACATGCCATAAAAAAGGGTAAGATGGTCATAAGCCACAATATTATTTACTTACCGATAAATCGTCATCCGTCAAAGAATCAGAGCTGCCAACATCAGGATAATAATTTTGGTCCTTTACACTATCGTCTGAATCGAAATAATTTCCCGAACTCTCACTAGAAACTTCGTTTTTAAACACTTTTCGTTTTACAGTCAGCTGCTTCTGTTTCACCATGTTGCTTTTTAGGTGGCATATGACCTTCTAGGCTAGAAAAATGCCTGATATTTAATTTGGGCAACAAGAATCTACAGGTTTGCTGTTGCCATCTCTTCGAGCACGCTAGAAATATTTTCACGGTGGCTTCTGACCTTCTTGAGAAAGTATTCTATAAACAAATCTAATTTTTTTTAAAATGTGGCCTGTGTACCTTGTTCCTCCAAGCGCTTCAATTGTAAAATAAATAGCATTAATTTTAGTCTAAAACAATTAACAAGAAGAGTAAATGTTTATAGTTATTTAATATTATAAACTCGGTATCTTTTTCAATTTATTTTCGAGTGAATATAATTTTATTAATAATTACTCATTCCATCGTATAAAAGAATTTGCTTACATTTGTTTTTTACCACAACAAAATCTTAACAAATAGATCATTCTGAGAAAAATAATCATTTAATTTTCCAATGTAACCAGTCGTATCTGTACCCGGTTCTTAATCTTCCCTCTGTCTTGTCTAACCCTAAGACCCGCTGTTTGTCAGATCGTGTGTTTACCGCGCTGTAGAACACCGCAGTAAATTACCTGTGGCCGCAATTGTTCCAAATTACACATAGACAGTCCCAAAATTGTTCTAGCATCGTTTCTCGATACACAATTCGCAAAATCAAAGGCGAAACCCCGGTCTGTATTTCACACACACCGAATTTGATAACGGATTCGCAAATCAGTGGCGCATCTAGAGGGTAACTTCGGCTATACTGACAAAAAAAATCTACGAGAAGTTGTAATATCGGTCTAGACATTTTTATAGGCTAAAATGTTGTTGCTTTTGGAAAGTTTATGACCACAAAATAATTAATTACATTAACATTTAAAATACATGGCACATAATCGGCCGCCCAATTTTGTTGATTTTTACATATGTATGCAACCAATTACGAAATGCCTTGTTTTATGTAACTCATAACGGGACGAGCAGAGCGAGATCCCACAAAATAAAGCTTTCCAGAACATACAGTATGGTTCAAATGAAAGGAATAAATTCATTATAATGGAAGTAGCTGGTTTTTCGAAAAAATGCTTGGACAGGTCAATTTTGTTTACTTAAAGCGCAATTTTTTAAATAAAATTCAATTTTCCCCCACTTCCCATTTTTGGGCAGTGACATCATTGACAATTTTTTTAAAAAGCAACCTCAATTTTTTTTTCTTGATTTTGATAGATCTTGCAATTTCCTACTCGGAAACATAATATTTGAAATATCTGACATAACAATTTTTTTTGAAAAAAAGTCATTTCAAGATCAGATACATAAATTTTATGTTATTTTGAAACACAATAAATTAATAAAAGATAATTATTTGTAATTAAATGCTTAATCTAACAAAATAATAATAAAAATAATAATAATAAAAAGAATTTGTGAAATTGTCATTAAATTCGTTTTATTATTATTATTATTATTTTTTTAAATTAAGCACTTAATTACAAATAATTATCTTTTATTAATTTATTGTGTTTCAAAATAACATAAAATTTATGTATCTGATCTTGAAATGACTTTTTTTCAAAAAAAATTGTTATGTCAGATATTTCAAATATTACGTTTCCGAGTAGGAAATTGCAAGGTCTATCAAAATCAAGAAAAAAAAATTGGGGTTGCTATTTAAAAAAATTGTCAATGACGTCACTGCCCAAAAATGGGAAGTGGGGGGAAAATTGAATTTTATTTAAAAAATTGCGCTTTAAGTAAACAAAATTGACCTGTCCGAGCATTTTTTCGAAAAACCAACTACTTCCATTATAATGAATTTATTCCTTTCATTTGAACCATACTGTATGTAGTGCTGTGCTAAACAACAGAAAATAAAAACGACCGAATAAACGAAGGAAAATTTTTATTTATATAAAATTCTGCTACGGTCAATAAATTATTCTTATTCAAATATATCAAAGAAGTGCAGGTTGAAATAAAATTGGGTTGAACTTACAACTTGGTAATAATGTAGTTTTGGTCCTTATTTTCCATTCTAAATCAGCACAAAATAATTAAAACACAATAAACGATAAAATAACCCGCTTCTTCTTCTTTATTAATTAAAGATTATCCGAAATGATAACCGATATCTAACCCTTCTTATAATTTATTTTTATTAGCCAACCGCATGTATACATACTTCTTCTTCTTTTTCTTCTATTTCTTCTTCTTCTTTTTCTTCTTCTTCTTCTTCTTCTTCTTCTTTTCTTCTTTTTCTTCTTTTTCTTCTTCTTCTTCTTCTTCTTCTTCTTTTTCTTTTTCTTTCTTCTTTTTCTTCTTTTTCTTCTTCTTCTTCTTCTTCTTCTTCTTCTTCTTTTTCTTCTTTTTTCTTCTTCTTCTTCTTCTTCTTCTTCTTCTTCTTCTTCTTCTTCTTCTTCTTCTTCTTCTTCTTCTTCTTCTTCTTCTTCTTCTTCTTCTTCTTCTTCTTCTTCTTCTTCTTCTTCTTCTTCTTCTTCTTCTTCTTCTTCTTCTTCTTCTTCTTCTTCTTCTTCTTCTTCTTCTTCTTCTTTCTTCTTCTTCTTTCTTCTTCTTCTTCTTCTTCTTCTTCTTCTTCTTCTTCTTCTTCTTCTTCTTCTTCTTCTTCTTCTTCTTCTTCTTCTTCTTCTTCTTCTTCTTCTTCTCTTCTTCTTCTTCTTCTTCTTCTTCTTCTTCTTCTTCTTCTTCTTCTTCTTCTTCTTCTTTGCGTGTAAATTCTTATTTATTCTTTAATCTTATTGTATCCTAGCAATTCTTTAGCCGATACTGTTATTGTACTCTTCGCACGGTAGTCTGTGAAGAGTATTATAGGTTTACTTTGTCCGCCCGTCCGGTGTCACTTTTTTGCCCGCACTGTAAGCTCTATTAGGGGATAAAGCCTGTTGATTTTGAATAAATTGGGGGTTAAGAAGGGGTTTAAATAATTATAAAAAAATCCTTACTCAAAAACGAACAATGACATCAACTTGAAATTTTTGGCAAAAATCCAGCTCTATACGGGGAAGAAGCTTTTACCTTCTATTTGAATTCTACGATGTAAATTATATTTAATAGGTGATTTAGCTCAAATTGCTGGTATTGCGTGAATTCGTAAATTGACCAGGACAAAATATCAGAGTAGCTTGACCGGTTCGCGGGCCAAGTCTACTTTACGATGCCCTGTTTCATTGAGTCGGTCTCTGGTACCTCAAGTTATCTGTTGCGAGTTCAGGCAAATAAAAGAAATTGAGAAAATTTAATAAATTTAATGAAAAGAATGCAAAGTTACATTTAATGAAAAAAACGAAAATTAAATGAATGAAAAGTTTGTTAATGTTTGTTACACAATGATTTACCGATTAATGACTCGAATGACAGAATATTAATAAAAATTGTTTTCTTTGTTTCGATCATGTGGCATTACACAGCGGTACTTCCCTGTTAAATCGTCACCTGGGTAGATGATGTCTGTCCGATACTAACTGAGATTACTTCGACATTACTTCGAGCTACGTGAAGCTACGTGGAATCTTGGAAGCTACGTGGAAACTACTTCGAAGCTTCGTCAAAATTACTTGGAAGCTTCGATCTTGGAGCTTGATGAAGCTACGTAACTTGGAGTTTGGATCAGCTACGTAACTTGAAGCTTAGAGCTTGGAGAAACTACGTAACTTGGAGTTTGGAGCTTGGAAGATACGTACCTCGGAGTTTGGAGCTTAGAGTTTGAAGCCACTATAGGTTTAGAAATAAAAAGAACCTTAGTAACAGGAATTTTACATCTACATGCCAGTTTGGAAATCTAACGGACTTATGCATAAACGGGACAAATATTAAAGTTACATCATCTTAACAAAATATAAACTACTAATAAGGCCAAAATAAGTTAAGAGCCATAGATTTCCGTTTAAACTGCAGTTCCGGACAGACTTGTTATTCAATTATTTACTTGCCTCCCCGCGTATATAGCAAAGATAGCTTAAAAATAATATTAGGTATGGTAGTTATAATCCATAATAAAATTAAACAATATGGTGGTAACAAAAAAAGCAAATGGCCGGACATATCGGCTTTCCAACTAAATCCAGCACAGAGTTAAAATATAAGTTGAAAAAAATATTACCTCACAATGACCCCAACGGTATCACATAAGCATATACGAAAGACACTCGATAATTATTTAAATCTACTCATAATAACTACAAACTAGTAGATTTGTCGACACAACACTACCACATTGAGTTTTGAATTCGATAAACAAAAGAGGGGCCTGTTAAATCAACGCTAGCCGGTTTTAAATCGAAAACGAAAAGCAATATCAACATGAAATTTTTAGTAAAATCAGGCTCTATAAGAAGATGAAGCCTATTGATTTTGAAAAAATCTGAATAAATTAGGGGGTTAAAATATTTAAAAAAAAAAATGGTACCTCTAAAACGAACAATAATATCACCTAGAAATTTTTGGCAAAAATCAATTAATCAATACTATACGGATGTTAGAAAAAAAGGAATGAAAATGATTTTATAAAGGGAGACCAAATCAGATACCTTAAATTGTAAAGAGTCTTCATCGTCAGAAACTTATAATTGCTGTAGTCTTCAAAACGTTATTCTTTTGGAACTAAAATTATCTAGATTGTCGCTTAATCTTCAAGTTTTCAATGTTACAATTACAGCCCTGCTTAGGACTTACAGCGTTTTGTATTTAGAATAGAAACGAATTTCAAATTTGATCAGTTTATTAGCTAAGTAAATAATATGCACTGTTATTATTTCTAGAGTAATGTATTACAAATTGTGTACTGATACTTTATAGTGACACTTACCCTACAGCAAATAAACTTTGTTCTACCGCTGCTCCAAATAGAGTAACAGAGTAAATGAATATGCTCTAGGCGGGAGCGAGTACCCATACCTTTGACCCTTCTGTCAAATTTCCTGGTCTTTGGTCGAGGGCCACTGTTTCCTTTGTGTTCAAATTCACCAGAGTTCGGCCTTCGGCACATTATCGCCACCGCCTTCTG